TCAGAGTCGACATTTTCATGCAAGCAATATAACTTTGCATCATCAAAGCAAAACAAACTACCTGACTGAATGTCAGGTATCAGACTTGTCATACAGCAGATGGCAAACAAAGAAACCAACTTACGCCAATGTAATGCAAGCTTCCCTCACAACCTGTGAACGTAGATCTTTCACAGAAAACACTAAGGCCTCCTCAATGACACGTAGGCACGGCAAGAAACAGTCATAGTCTTGTGCTCCAGCTATGACTAGACTCCGAAGTTTCTTCAACTGTGACACAGACAAAATATCACTGAATTGGTATTTCACAGTGAAATCACATGTGGAGATATTTCGTCCCCCTCCCAAGAAACAAATGTACCTTTTAAAAATTTGTATCAGATGTGCCCACAAAAAATGCACATAATGGCTTCACTCTCATGGCGAAGATCCTATACATTTGGAGGTTCTGTGTTGGAGTAAATAATATAATTGACTCTAAAAATTAACAAATCTCATGGCACATACATGTAAGTAGAGCCAATGATTTTCCACAATATTTTGAACCAACAGTTTGAAACGGAATCCATTACTTGAAACAGAACTTAAAAAGGAGGGAAACTCTCAGCACAGTATCAAAAATAAATGCGTACCCGACCCTTATAGAATGCTCGCTTTTAATGAACAAATTATGTTGGAAACTGCAATACTCCAGCACAGGGCGAATGGGGAATTTCCGAATTCAGACTGAGTCCACATAAACGCCTTGAGACGAGACAGTAAAATGGACATCAAGTTGCATTTGTCTTGAATGAAATGAACCCTAGTGAGCTTAGTGTACCACAGCTGATTTGACCCTTGGAACTCTGCTTTACTCACAAACATGCATTTAAGGCCCAGATTTGATGTTAATTTTTTAAATTTTGTCGTACCACTGCCAAATAAAAATGGCGGTTTTATGTCCAACATTAACATATTGTGATCATCGGCTGTTGCATTCACAACCTACTCTATGACTGCACTGTACATGCATTAAATCTAATTTGAGTTTGTATCAAAGGAGTGTCACATGACTTGTTCGTAGATTAATCGTAGTATCATGCTGGTGAGAAATTGAGGGGATGCTGTAACTATCAAGCAGATTTTTTTCTTGCCTTAAAAATGTTGGAAACATTGTAGAGTATTTCCAAACTGGCCACTTGTTTCTTTCATTTATTTACTTTTTTTTGGGGGGGAGTAAGATTGAGCAAACGGTTTCCATGCATAGTTTATAACTTGCTCTCCTTTTTATGCTTACTAAGGTATGAAATGAAATTTGAATTTCGCAGAAATAGATTCTGCCAAATAGAAAATGCCCACTTTTGAAATGGAAAATCATTGGCTATACATAAGACATTCTCTATGACTCACAGCATTAGTTCGCACTTCCCAGTCTGCCTTCTCATCTTTCATTGTTTCATAGAGTTTATTCAAATCTTCTTCCACAGATCGATTGCTGTATATCTGTCATCAGGAAAAAAATAATAAAGAACTAGATTGGAAAAATTGTGATTATAAGGAATATGCTCAATTTGTACAAATGTAGTTGGTAAGTACCTGTGTAGGTCTATTTACATATAATTAAACTCTCATTGCATTTGGGAAACCTGTAAGTATATTACAACAAATGTTGCATGCAGTAGGTTAGAGGGATACACTGCTTATATTTTTACATTTTGTCACTAAAACCTTACGTTTACACTTGGTACATCTTCAAAGGAATTGTAAAAGACTTCTTCATCAACAGAACCAGCTGACGATGAACTGCCTAGAATGAAGAAAACACAAATAAGTAATTTAAAAAAACACTAATCTCTCATTCTTAAAACATCAAAAGAGGACACAATCAGATAAAAATCACTACCGGTATTTGTTTCAGTTAGCAACAATTTGAGAGTTTTCATTCTCACAGGGATTCACAAAAACTTTTTTCTATATCTATCATGTCCAATTTCAATTCAATTTTAATATCCAATTACTTTGCTATTGTCAGACCATCCTTTATTCAAGCTAGATACATCTTTCTATCATGTACATGTACACGTAGCTCCATGATGGCTTCATACACAGACCCTGACAGTGTTGTCAACAGCGCCTCAAGAGTATTGCTGAAAAGCTTAAACAATATTGCGGCTCCTCTCAAACCTCTCCCAATTCTTAGGGCTGTAGTGGTAAATTAATCCTACAAGATAATTACTCTGTCCAACATGGGCTTCCTGAAACTAAAACCATATTGCCAGAACATGGCCACGTATTTGAAATCAGCTAAGACCAAAATTAACTTCAAAGCAACTGATTAACACACTGACTTCAGTTACATCTTGGTAACTCTTACTTGCAGTGGTGGGCCTACTCATTGCTGATTTCCGACTGACACCACTAGCAACTCGCTTAGCTTGGGCTTTATGTCCAGCCTTGAATTAATAAGGAAGGAAAAATAAACATGAAAATGAATGTACAACTCAGGAATAAAAGAAGAGAATATCAATGTCAAAACTTGACAAGAAAAGAGATGTAGTGCAGCTATATTTCCAACAATTCTGCAAACTTGTGACAACAAAGAAATAAATAACAGCATGAACCATGAGATTGGAAAAACTTGACAGCTATACATACATGTATATTTCTACTTCTGACATACAGGTATAATCTACACAGTTTGAGTGTCATGTTCTGTGTTAAAGACATCAATTTTTCAGAGACTGAAATATTTCAAGGAATCACAAAATTTGAATCAAAGCAACAATGTTGATGAAGCATTAGTTGCAGTACATGTATGTAAAACTTCCATAGCATTTTACTGGGCAGTTTCCTAAATTCCCCAAACCAACCACTGTGAAGACAACCAATGACAAATTTATTCTACTTCAAACTGGGCCACTAAGCTCTACTTGATGTTTCTGTAGCCGGGTTCTACTATCCAGAATTCCTCAGAACACTTTCAAACCCTTAGCTTGATTCTGACTGATTTGGGGTAAACAGGACTGATTAGTTTAAAGCATGCAAACTCGAAGTAAACGTAACAGAACAAATTTACAAAGCTGCCTGCGAAAAAGAAATACGTATAATATGTCAAGAGTGAAACAGTCTCACATAGAAATACTCAAGAACATGCAATTAAAGAACATTTAACCTACATGTAAGAGCAATGTAAAATAAAGATAGTAACATGGATGTACATTGCAAAGCTTAACGTTCATGTACGGTACAAGTTTACCAGTACCTAAGGTACACAGGCCAAGAATGCAGTCTAAAACATCCTCTCCTAAAATCATCAAGCAAGAGACTACAGGATTTCAGGTGTCTGTGGCATCAAACAGAAAATACAAATGTACAAACAAAAGATGTGGTTGGGGCGTCAATTCCAAGCTCTGCAGAAGGGGATAGCTATGTACTTGGCTAGTCTTAAACGCAACCAACTCAGGAGCATGGATGCAACCAATGCCCAAGCCACAGGTGGCGGCATTATCAGCATTGGTTCTCCTGAGCAAGGTCTTACACTTTATAGTTTAAGACTGGCCAAGCACTATATTTATTCCCATTCATAAATAACTTTTTATTCAGATAGTCAAAAAGTCAACATATGATGGATTTCGATGGATTTGGTTCTAAAACTTTACTTTCATTTTCCTGAACACCCCCGTTTATTATTTGATATCAGTTTATTCTTTAGAAAGTTATCCAATAGAATCCCCTTCAATGAACTTGGTGATGGCACGTCGCGTGCACACAGACTCCTGACCAATCAGACTCGATTAAACTGTCCTATATCCATGTGCCAGCGCATGATTTGCGCAGTGGGCATTATCACTTCTCAGCATTCACAACAGCACAACGGACATGAAAAGTAAACCTCTGCACTAATAATATATTGGGAAATACATACATGTGTACCATAGCTGAACTCAAACTTCAAAGGAAAAACTGAAAGACTTTGCAATGTTCTCACAACATAGGGAGTTCTCCCAACATGGGGAATTCTCCCTGATTCAAAATGCCTTTCTGAATTTGTTCATTTCTTTTTACTGTACTTCATTGCTTTATTGTGATTAACATGGCAAACTTCTTTTCTTTTCCTACCAAAAAAAAGTGAGTTTTGCCACTTTTGCAGACTACAATGAACAAAACTCCAAAGTTCTCTTTCAATAGAAACATTACTTCTCATGCAAAGTACCGTACAATGAACAAGTACACTGTACAACATCCCAGTAAAACAATGAATAGAAGTTACATGTACGTTAGCTTTAGCTTCAAGGTTTTAGCATAAGGCATATCTGTATGTTCAACATGTGCATGTACCTGTAGGAAAGTGACAATGTTGTGCGCATCTTTTGATACCTAACCATGATAGGAACTTCTTCTAACCAATAAGAATCCCTTGCTTAATAAATCTTAATCTGGTTTCAATAACAATGTAATGGGAATGTTTAAAAATCTGGTTCACTGAAAAGATTTGGGATTGATGTCAGTCCCAAGTTGACTGCGACAAGTGGGTAAGCAAGCCATTACCTGTATTTCATTAATTTATCTTTTTTAAATTTAAACTGCACTATGACAGCATGTGAAACAGGTGAATACTTGTACATTTGTACATTCAGTATTTAATGCACTTGTAGCTCAGCTTATACATGTACATGTACATGTACTATTCATGTACATGTAATGTTTGTTTTGGGTTAGAACATGAAAGTTCTGCAAATGAATCTGAATAATTAAAAACAAACAAGCTACATTTCACAAATATATGCACGTAACAAATAACATATAACACCATACCGTGTAAATATACCGGTACGTGAAAATAGTCATAAACGGGAAGGATCTATCTGTGAAACAATGTGTATTGTTCATGTACATGAACATGTTGAAAAAGTACGGATATGCCCCTTTCAGGATGTTTTTACAGAAACAAAAGATATTTTTTAAATAAATAATACAATTAGTGGATAATAAATGTAAAATAACCTTAAATTTTACCTCTTCGTTCTCATACAATGTCTCCTTGAATATGAATAGGAAAGGGTAATAAGAACAGTGAGTGCCGCTGAAGATAGACATGATAGAAATGTACCTGTACATGGATGGGCAAATGTCTAAGAGTTTGGCCTCTTGTAAAGACACCTCATATGCATATTTACATAAACATGGACATGCTCCTGTGCAGGATATCAATTTGTTTTCCCATTTTCTTTCTTTTTCATATGTTACTGATGCTTGGATAAACTGTTTTGGGCATGTTAACAACCGACACTGCGCACCGCATACAAATGTCTGGGAATGGGTTTGTAGGAAATGAGTTAACTATACCAAGTGTCAATAGAAGGATCTGTTGCAGTACCTCCTTGGAACAAAACAAACTCCCTTTTAAAATATGATTGGGCAACTTATCACATGGTTGCACTGCTCTCTTCATCTTTTTGTGAAATGTCTTGCGGCAGAAATGTTAGAATGGAACAATACATGTACATGTACAATAGAAAATACATTGACCAATCACCTCATAAATAATGAATGTCTGAATGACAAAATAAAGAAATACATGTACAGGTAAAACAACTCATTCTTTTCCATTCTTGATCAAAAAAGTACATGGACTTGATCAAAACAAAAAGTAAACTTTATGGAATAGCAGTACACAATAGCCAATGAACAAGTCTGGTGACCATGGTAATGGTTATTGATCAATTGCTGAACAAATATTTAACAAAACATCATGTATAAACTTGATGCTCATTGCTTTACTGACATATATGGCACATGCATGCATTACAAATGACACATGGGGAAAAAAGCAAAGCTGACCTAGAAAAACGGTACAGTACACACGTACATGTACAGTACGGGTACAGGTATGGGGTACATTAAAAACTTTTGGTCACTGGTTTCACTGAAATTTAAAATATAATGCAAAGAGAAGGTGATAAAGATTTTTAAACTTGAAACACTGACATGACTGAAAGTGAGTTCAAAGAGCAATGGTATGATTTTTCTGTAGGTTTCTTTGTTGAACATAAAGTAAATAAAGGTGTGTCAAATGTCTTTTTTTCAATTCCAACATCATAAATAAGAAAGAGAAAATAAGTTTTGGTACATGTAAAGCTCATTCAGTGCAGGAGAAAACATACTACCACTATATGAGTGAAGTAGGAGAAGTGAAAGAGTGTGCAATGACTTTATTGAAACATCTCAAATTCAAACTGTATATTTAGTTCTTGCTTAATGGAAGAATGTACTTACCTGTACTCATAAAGAGTTAACCAACTGAGGGACTGAATTCCAATTAGCCTTACACACTGCTACCATTCTCCAAAACTTTCCCATCTTCCAAAATACAAATCAGAAGAAATACTGTACAATGTACAGTAGTAAGGAACTGTACATGTGTGCAAGGTACTATGCATGATAGCTCAGCTGCATGTGACAGCAATGGGCATCCAGTACATCATGTACATGTACTTGTATGGCTGTTTTATTGCTGACCCCTCATGTACATGTACTAGTTATTTGTGATACATGTACCGGTGTCTCTATTCAGCCAATCTGCATAGAAAACATTCAGTCACTACACCAATGCATACATGTACATGTATATGTACATGTAGGTACAACTGCATCAACTCATAAATTCCACAGCAAGAGAGCTGAATTTGAGATGTTCCATACATATATATATACATGCATGATATACAGCAAAATATGAAATCCAAAAAAAAAAAACGGTCCATATGTGCATGTGTTACACAACTGAAATGAAGAGGTGCATATCTACATGTACGATGATGTACGGTATAGGTGTTAGTGTTGGTACACAGAGCTCACCTCAGTAAAACTACTGACAGCTGAAGTTTTAGCAACTGCACTTTTCATTTTGGTGTTCCAGAAAGACTAGAAAGAGTGTTATTGATAAGTTAGAATGCATACAACATGAAAACAGGATTGTCATAGAGAGATGTTCATTCCCATCTGGACAGATAACAGAACTTTCTTCATCTTTGTTACATAAAATGTTAACAGCAGTTCATTACACAAACATTTACAGGGTGAAATAATAGTGAAAGAAAATGCTCTGTTCACATACAGTAACCAAGTGCAGGACTACTGAAGTTGCCTTCTTGCATTTCATGACAAATTTTTAATGGATTAACTTATTATCCACGTTTTATTTTCATGCAGCAAACTAATTGGTGGGTTAACCAATAGGTTGCACTTATGTGGCAGATCTATGGTATTAAGAACCAAGCTCTGACAATGCTGACTTCTAAACAGATTCCACATGTATTTTGATCTAATGCTGCAAATCTTTCATGTACAGAGTACAAACTCTCCCTCATAACAGACAGAGTGCCTGCACGTTGTACAAGAAAAACTGTAATATGGTTTTCTATTTGCAGTGCAATGAAGGCTATAGATTTTAGTGATGTCAAAGTGATGTGCATTCAACCAAAGTATCCACGGTGAATTTTAGTGCATCATTCATGTGCTCACATAAAGTCTTACATGTACATATGTACATTTGTCTGGCATTCTGGATTAGTGTAGGCATATACATGTATGCCCTTACACCTGTACATGTTCTGCCACAACATCATGTGTTTCTATTTACTTACAATTTTGCTATCCGGTTCATCTCCTCCAGATGATGGCTTTGGAGCTACAAGAATAAAGAAAACCAAAGAAATGAAGATTGAACTCTGTACAATAATCTTAGAAATCTCATCAACTGTACCCGTACAAATTGAAACCGTTCATGAATACAGAACTGTATGCAACTTTCATTCCACATTTCCTAACAAAAGCAACTGTCCCTTCAATGTGGGGCTGGCCAGGGCATGTACGCTGAACATACACGTATGTACTAGTACGCGTACATCTCCCATGGCATTGTGTCACCTGGAGTGCTGTACAGTTCTCCATGTACTTCTCCGAAGAAGTAACCGATGCCAAACATCAGCATACATGTATGCATAACACCAACATGGAGTTAATCCTACCAGTGTATTCCTTTGAGCATACCGTGTACGTGTACACACTCACCAGAAGGCTTGAATGAGCTACGCAAGAACGCAAATCGCTTCATTTCTATTCTTACAAATGTAGATATATCCACATGAATGTTCCCTTGGCAAGATGTTCCCCAACTCACTACTCAGACAACTTTGTTGATTTTGACACTCTGTCTTAATATGCTGCTACATACATGTCCGTGTATGAGAGTGCCACTTGACTACTTTCTTCAATAACAGGAAAACCTCATTACAAGACTGCAAATCTGACTCATCCTATGTGGATGTTCCACCCAGCTACAGTACAGCCAAATTTAATTGGCCCATCAACATAGTAAACTATACTATCTGTGTAAATAAAATTTGCAAAAAAGAAAGCCCACACTGGGTCAAAATTTGCCCTAATATTGGAACATTTAAACAGGCAAACAAACCAAAAGACTACTACAACAAAGGGGGAGGTGTGTTAATTTCCAAATAGGAATGTTTATTCATTCATTATCATTGAAGGAAGATTCAATTAAGTCAAATCCTATCCTCTTTAGGTTAACAGACACAGTGTGAAACTGGGTCTCCAAAATGTACAGATAAGAATTATCAAGATGGCAGGAGAATGGGGAGAAAAATAACCTCCATACCAAGGAACTAAAAAAGGAAGTACAGTGTGTTAATACATGTGCAATGTACACGTACATGTACAATGCATGGGCATATGCATTCATGCTACATGTACCATACATTTGTCACTTCACAATATCAAAAGTGGAAAGGAGAATCAACTTGGCAAAAATTGCTCTTCAAATACTCCTCAGACAAATTAAATGAGCCAAAAAGAATACTAGTTCCAGTAAAATGCCTCTTTAAAGCTTAGAGGTACCCTGATATATTTTGAGCAGGCCAGGAAGTTTGCTCAAGGGCAAAGAAAAAAATTAGGCCACAGCTCCCTAAAAATAACATCGAAGCTAAATTAGCCGGTAAGCTCTGGAAATGACTCCAACTAGATCAACCAGCCTCAGCCTGAGGCTTCTGGGGGCCTGTAAGAGCCTTCAAAATAATTGCAGTGCAAGATGAAAATTTTCATATACATGTATATATCTGACGGCTTAAAATTACCGTACATAGATTTCCCTCTACATGAAATCAAAATTGCTCACTTTGCTCACTCCATTATGCACCCACCACTGCTCTTAATCCAATGTACAATGTACTGTATGTTTTGATTCTGTAATTATTATAACATTGGCGGGAAAATGGTTCTTGTAGAATTGTAAACATTCATCATGCTTGCATACATTTGGCTTAGTACATGTTATTTGTATTTTTTGTATAACAAATTTCTAATTACTCAGTCAAATTTGGAAATACCGGTACTTGTGATGATTGGTACAGGACACAGAGCATTGTATAGAGAGAATTGCGACATGAGCGTCAGCATTGTTGGAAACAAGCTGACAGATGTACATGTATGCATCAGTGCACATGGACAATTGGTATACAACCGCCACACTTTCTACTGTACGGATGATGAGCAGCCATTTTGTTTCCAAAATCTGAAGCTGGCGTTCTTGTCTATTAATAGCTATGGGACACACTCACTTGCTGGGGAGGTGGGGTCAAAATTTGTGGACTTTGAAAATAAAATAAATTATCTTGATGGCTAAAAATGCATTAAGATCTGAAGGTATTTATCTTTGGCAACCTTGGAAATTCAAGCTACATGTACGAAGTACAGTGTACAAATCCTTGTCATGTTCCACCACTCTCTGCTAAATACATGTAAATGACAGTTCCAGGCAATTTCTTTAATCCAAAAGCAAGGTCTGTTGATGGCTCTAATGTAAGCAAGTATGTTGCACCTGGGTTGTTACTGTACTAATGAAACATCATACCAGTAGTATTTTGCTGCAGTAGTGGAAACATTCTTTTCTTTTTGTGTTCCTACGGTGAATCTATTATTTCTATGTATCATGACATTTTTAACCCTGCTCAATACCAATGAAAGGCTTGAGGAGAAATAGTCCAACAATTGTAAAGAAACAATGCTGAGGGCATGCCAAGTACAGCTCCATGAGATTGTCTGCCACTGAGTGTTTACAATGTATCGTTCAATGTGTGCACTTTTGAAGTACACAAATGTACCAGTATCAAGCAAAAACAACATCACACGCATGTACTGTACATGTACTTTACAAATACTGGTACATGTATATTTAAACCCAACACTACTGAACCATACTGTAATGTTGTAGTCAAGACCACTTAACACCTCCACAAGACCATCAAAAGACATCCAGTCTGAATTACAGTCACAAGCTATTCAAATGCACTGCAGCAAAAGTATTCCTTTTTCATTCATTATGCACACTGTTACCATACTTGTCATGGTCTCAACCACCAGTACAATACTGCCATAATGTAGAGTAAATGCACTGCTACTTACACGCACACTGCTGCAGAAGAGGAATTCTACTTCCACGATATGGCATTTTGGAAATCCAACAAACAGAAGACAAAACATCCAATACCAACATCCAGGCAAGATTTTACAATATGATAGTGACTTAACTTCCCTACAACGTCCATTCAAAATGACTGCAAAACACAAACATTATGCCACATCATTCCAAAGAGAGCTTCAATCCAGTTGGAAATTAAAGAACGACAAAGCATGTTTGTTCATCTGACTGAGGAAAAAAAGCCTTCATCCCCAAGGCTGAAACGATGCATGGTTTCGTGTTAAGGAGCTCTGATTGGCTTATGGACTGGAATGAATGAAAAGCCTTCAGGTTTTTTTTTTTTTCAATTAAAGAACTGGATCACAATACGTTTAATAGAGAGAGGGCAACACAACCTTGACTGAGAAATTTTGCAAAGGAGTAGGCAGTGAAAAAGACAATGGAATCTTTAAATGTCTTACACATGAACACTGTACATGTACGTACAGCACAATACTGACCGGTCAGTTATCCAGTGTGTACATGGCATATGCCAGTATGTACATGTATATAAAGTATAAAGTACATGTACTTGTGAAAATTACCCT